AATGATGTAAAGTGTGTTATATATGGATCTAATTTTAATAATAAAATTTATTACTTTCATCTACATTGTTTTTATTGTAAGTTTTCACGAGTAGTTGCAGTTTTCTGCAATTGTCTCTGGCCGACTATACATGTTAAAGCCAAATAATTTCACAATTTGTACCCTATTAAAGGTTTATATTTTAATAAGATGTGATCAATTATTTAAGAATATATATATTCCGATCAAACTATAGTACTGAATGCTTGACAAATAATTATTTAAATCAAATGATCAATAGTGAACGCACTCGGAGTGAATTTTGGAACACGGAGCGAATTATGCATATTAAGACTAAATAATTTCTAACTTTCTACCATATTATACGTTTATATTTCAATGTAATATGATTAATTACTGAAGAATATATAAACTCCGATCAAACTTCACTACTGAATGCTTGACAAACAATATTTGAATCAAAAGATCAATAGTGAACGCGCTCGGAGCGAATTTTGGAACACGATATAAAATATGCATGTTAAGACTAAAAAATTTCTTATAAGCTTATGTTTTAATATAATATAATTAATTACTGAAGAATATATTAACTCCGATCAAACTATAGTATTAATTGTATGACAAACTATTTAAATCAAATGATCAACAGTGAACGCGCTCGGAGCAAATTTTGGAACACTTCATAGAATATTTACAGAGGAAGTATATTTGGTAGAGATCAAAATGTATTTAACAAAGTGTGATTGAATTTGATATTGCTCTCAGAAGAACCATCCTATAGTCAAATTGAAAAAAATGTTTATGCATTTTGAATCGTTTGTTTATATTTTTTACATAATATTAAGAGAGCCGCACTGAGTTGTCAATAACACCTTGTTTAAAACACCCATGATACAAATATTTAAAGGTAAAAGCGCTTGCTCAATTCGTCGGCCATCATTTATTTTTTGAAGTTTGTCTATTTTATAACATGATAAAAACATAACAAGGTAAAACCATTGAGAGGCAGTCTGACGTTTGCCAACAATATAATTTTAAAATCAAAACTCAAACTCACACACACATTCTCATTTTCAATCTCAAACAACAACAATTGTGAACAATTTAATTTTTTTATTTTCAATTTTATATGATTTTAAAATGTTGGCAAACGTCAGAACAAAATCATGGCCGACGAATTGAGGGAATGAATTTACCTTGTAATGTTTTTATCATGTTTTATAAAATTGAAATTTTGAGAGCAACTCAAATGCCAAATAAAAGTAAAACAAAAAACAAATAGATGAAAATATTGAAATTTTATTTATTATTTATGTATTTGTGAGATTGGAAATTTGAAAACATTTTTGTAATGTTAGCAAACTTCAAAAATGTTCAGGCTGCCTCTCAGCGGGTTTACCTTCAGATTTTTGTATCATGGATACACCTCGAGATATCACGAACAAGTTTTCCTTTGTTTATTTTTACTTAAAGTTCTTAAATATGTATCTTGTTTTCTGTAGAATACGTATTCATTTTTTAACCTTTTTAAAAAAAGGGAGAACAGTCGGATCTACGTAACCAGAACGACCTGAATGAGCATTAAGGTCGGTTGTATTTTTTGCTCAAAATTACTTGTTATTATTCAGATACAGTTTAGCTACTATTTAGATTTCTCGACATACTTGTTCACATTACTGTTATTTATTATTTTTCTTATTAGTCGTTTATATGTTTAGGACTTACTGTGGGTGCTTTAAGATTCATTTTGTAAATATGTATGTACATATAAAAAACAATTGCGATATTTTATTTTATTTTAAATTATGAATTTTATTCGTGCAATTTTTTATGTTTAATAGTTTTGAGATTTTTTGGTTCTGTTGTATTCTTTTATTGCATATCTTTAACTCTTTTACTTTAAGTTATAATGTTAAAGATAAGCCTTCTGCCTTTGTCAAGCACTTTAGCTAGGTGCGAGAAATTTAGCATATGCGCGTAAGAGCATAGGGTAGGTATAGGGCTGTGCTGCCGCGATTCTCCAACATCTTGTCAAAGGAGAAAATATATTGGTGGCGGAATCCATCGTAGTCCGATTTTTCATAAAATCTAAAAAAAGCGATCACTGAATCTGAACTGCTATGAACGTGTGTATTCAAAGCAAGCACTGCGTTCGTAGCTACTCGAATTTAATAGCATTTTCGTAGATTTCACGGAAAATCGGACTACGATGGATTCTATGACAGCCTTGATTAGTTTGTGCCAATATAGCAACTCAGTTACCAGCTTTCAGTTGCTAGTTGCCATCGGTAATACCATTTCAGCCACTGGCCAACCAACTGAAGTTCGGTTGTCCTCCGTAATCGACCCATAAAATCGGAATCGAATATGCATGCACGTTCTGCAGAACGATAAATATTTTGTAAATGTGTGCTCTGTCCGCTAACGAATTCCAGCCATGTGTGAAAAATCGTATGTGAAGCCTCCGTCTACCTTAACGATTGTCAAAGGCACGCCAGAAGATGTTTCATCATATGTTTTCGACCATCGTCTTCTTCGAGTAAGTTCATCGATTCCAAAAACTTTACAACCTCTATGTGCCAGCATCCCTTAGTGTTTTTGGCAATGACATGGCACTATTGCACTGTTAATAACCAAATTTAGCCGCAGTTGCATTCACACGTGATATAATAGCTATTGTCGGTATGTGGGAATGCCCAGGAGATGGCGTTTGTTCAGCTATCGAAATCATTACTCCGACGGCGGTGGGCAGTACTGCTGGAACATATTTACAACAGCGGTGGTTGTGGCGTTTTGTTCTGCAACAATAGCCTGCAATGATGAGATGTCATATAATGTCGATGAACAAAGATATAAAATTGAAAATGACTAACCTTATTCCCGGCCGATTGGGAGACCACCCTTGGTCACGACCAGAACGCATTTACCAAGAGGAAAAACCGCAGGGATTGCAGTAGTTCTTGCAATCACCGTTGATGATGCTGTGCTTGTAATTAATAGTCTGAAAAGGCAGAAAATTGCATTAGTCAAATGTTAAACACATCAAATAAATAAATTTCAATAATTTGTTTACCATTTCACAAACCGAATTACCAAGAAATAGAAACTCACCGCTTTGCGATACAGAAATAATAACCAACAGGGGTGCATTTTCTTGGTAAACAACAAAAGCGCTCAAAGCAATCTGATCCACAATATTAATTTCTGAAAAATAAGACTTGTAAAGAGTTTTTAAACATGATTATCACATTATCTAATTAGCGCACACTATCGAGTTTATTTCTAGTAGAATATAATTGTATTATCTCAGACTTTTTTTCAATGTTTTCTAATATTCGTTCTTTTGGAATGCAAAAGCAACCATGCGCTCAATTTCTTGTGGGGAAATTTGGCCCCCATAAAGGAATTTCACCACGAAACAGCTACAAAAACAAAAACCTTTTCTACTGGTTTACTGTGAGCCAAACAGTCTACCGAAGCGGACAAAGAAGCACTGAAGGAAGGAGAGCTAAGAATTCCAGCAACTGGCCTGCTTTCCCAAATCCAGGCTTGCTTCGCTGCTACCGGCGCAGCCGCTGCGCTGCTGAGCGGTCGTTAGTTAAGTGAACATCAACAAGCGGCTGCTTATCAGCGTTGCCGTTGTGGTCCAATTGGACCAAAATTGGTGGCTTCATTCTCCTTTGGTAGTTTGGTTGGTTTGATGAAGCTTTTGGTAGGCAAAAATGTTTTGAAAATTCAATCGAACTTAGCATTAAAATTTGTTCACTTTGCGTTTACATGTTGAAAACATTGCTTTCACTTTACTCGCATGTATAAGTTTTCTTTATGTTTTCTAAATTTTACTAAGCACACAATTTTCTAGAAACAAAAACTCACTTTCCAAAGCTATTATCGATAATCTGTTGAGATTGAACGAAAAATTGCCTATCGTCTTGAAAGAAAAATTGGTGATAGGCAATTTGCAAAGTGTGAGTGTATTGGTAGAAAAAGGGTGAGAGTATGCAAATTGAAACAAGATTTGGAATTTTGTTTTATTGAAATGCACAAAATGTCTGATTTTGTTTTTTTTAAACATTAAAAATGTTTGATATGAATTGAATTAACCTCAAAGGTAATCACATTTTTACAAAAGTTTTTTTACGCAATACGTTAATTATTTTGTTTAAAAGCCCGAATTTGTATTGATTAACCTTAGAGATTGGCATGAATGGTTAACCAGCACTGTAAACAATATTATACTGCCAATTCGTGTAGCTAAAAACCCTGTACATCCAAGAAATCTCGTTTTAATAATGAACAAAGATTTGGTAGTTTGGTAATTGATTTGGTAGGCGTTTTTGCACCTAAAAATAGACTCAAGTGGCAACACTGCTGCTTATACGCTGAGTACAACTGAACAAAACGAGCCGGAGCGGTTGTGGATAGCTGTTGCCTTGCATGTGGCTGTTCTAAAGTGTTTTATCTACTCTGCCTTGGTGTTTTTTCTGCCGGTGACTGCGCGCCTTATAATCGTTCTCTGTGAGTACCACAGTGATTTATTGGTGAAAGGCAAGGCGCATCAATTACAGGTGATAGCGATAGAAGCTATGCTTCTTCTTATGAGCACGCTTGTGTCAAATTATCGTCTGTTTTGCTATATTTACATATCCGCGTACAGATACACATATACGTATATATATACCCTGCAAACAAATGCTCCCGAAATCTTTAAGAGTGTCGGGAATTTGTTACGATTCTTTTAGAAATCTGTAAAGAAAAACATATGAGGCGGTTGACAAGAACTAGTAAAGAAATTTCTGTACGATTTCTTAAAGAAAATTCTTAAAAAAATTGTGAAACCTTTCAGAATTCTATGAAATCCTGGTATGCAGGGTATACATATACACACGAATATGAATAGATAAAAAAGATGGTGATGACACAAGGAGTTCATACCAACGGTAAATGTTGTTTTTGTACGATTGCTACAACCTGTAGTTGTTGAATCATGGGTGAAAGGCAAAACAAAGAAAGTGAGGACATAAGTTAAGTGATAACCTGACTTAACAGTGCTGCCACCACGCGGAGATTAATTAGAATATTTTAATTTTAATTTAATTATTTTATTGTTGCATAGTTTTTACTTTTGCGGGTGTATATTTTTGCCATACTCCTTATGGTAAATTGTACATGATGCCGGCAGAATATAAAAAGTGTACTGCGAAACTGCTTCAAGTAGACGAAATGATATCATGTTCTGGTGGGTGTGGTTATAATTTTTGTGTGAAATGCAGTAACATAAAGAGACACGAGATAAAAATAATAACCGAAAATATTAATTTGAAATGGTTATGTAATCAATGCTCGTTGTCAGACACAAATACCAAGTTTATTGAGATTAAACATTTAATCAATAAATGTGAACAATCAAAAATGAAAGCTTCTGATGTGAAACAGATAGTTGAGCAAATATTTAGTAATAAATGTTCACAGATAAAAAGTAGCATTATAACAGATTTCAACTCATTTTTGGAGCATAATATTGAAGTAAAAATTAACGCTATGAAAAATGAGATCATAAGTGATGTGTCTAAAGAATTCCAAAAGAGTAATGAGCTGCTAAAGCATTTACGCGTAGCTAATGATAATAATACGAAAATGTCATATGCTCAAATTACCAAGGTTACGGAGAGCGCAAGTAAAATTGTTATTAAACCGAAAAATAAAAGCAAAAAAGCTAAGGAAACAAAGGAAGCCCTAAAAAAAGTAGTAGAGCCTACGGACGGCCTTGTAATGAAAGTGAAAGAAACAAAAAATAAGAGAGGGCATTGGAAATGAATACGAAGCACAGAAAACAAGAGAGAAAAATGAGATAAAAAAGATACTTAAAATAGTTGGTTTAACTGAAAAAATTGGAAATGATCGTCTCGTAGAATGCTTAACCAAGCAGAACGATGTGTGCTCTGGAAAAGAGTTCAAAGTTTTAAAGATGTATGATAATACAAATCGTAGGGAGGAAAGCTATATTACATTAGTAGAAACTGATGCAGTCACTTATGAAAATGTACTGAAACAAAAAAGAATTAATATCGAGAGGGACACTTGCGTTGTTTACGAACATCTAAATGTATTAAGATGCTATAAATGTCTGGGATATAAGCACAAAGCGATTGAATGTACCAATAAAATAGCATGTAGCAATTGTGCTGGAAATCACGATAGCAAAGAGTGTACCTCAACTATCGTTAAATGCGTAAACTGTAGCGAATTGGTTAAGAAAAAAGTTATTGAAGTCGATGTAAATCATTATGCTTTCAGTATAGATTATCCAGCATATAAAAAACATGCTAACACTCAAAGTAAAATGCGATTCTAGCAACGAACAAGTAATTTTTAGCAAAAAAAAACCGACTTCAACTCTCACATAAAAAAAAAAAATATATATATATATATTTCATGATCCACATATCGGATCTTAACCAGATTAGTATGGGACCACCTCTGAGACACTACCTTTCCGGTGCAAAAATAATTATCTTAATCGGTTAACGTGGTCCAAAGTTATGCGGTAACATACAAAAAAAAAAATATTCCTAGGAACTGATAACCTCCTCCTTTTTTGGAAGTCGGTCAAAAATAAATAATCTAAATTGTATTTATTTAAACATTAATAGTATCATCGCTAATAATTGTGAGCTAGAGTTTTTAATAGAAATTCAGAAGCCACATCCAAGAGTTACAGATAAAAACTTACAAACTTGTTCGTTGTAATTCGCATAGTAGACATACGGGCGGTATATTAGTATCAGTGTTGCCGCTTTAGCCCTTTGGTGGCTAGATTTAGCTACCACATCCTTTTGGCCACATAAATTTAAAATTGCCCCTAGCCCTTCTTTTAGCCCTTTTTAGAATTTAGTCATACTTGGCATGAAAAAGTTATATATGCTTAGTTTGTTTTTTTTGCATTTATGTAAGAGATGAATTTTTAAACTAAGAAAGACAGATATATATACATATATATATTGTATGTTCTGTTAACGATTTAACTATAGTTTAAAATAGATAAGTTCACGGCCCTGAATATGCTAAATTTGTTAAATTACCCATCAAGTCGATTGACCGTGTATGTTCTTGTGGTGTGATTGTACCAGCATGCTGGTGTCGTTAGTGGTGAAATTAGCTCAATTTTCTAAGTAAAAAGTATTTTTTGGCGGAAATTTCTTGCTCTATATGAGTCAAAGCCGTGTTTGTGGAAGATAACGTTCACGATATTGCAGTTGTGCATTACAAAAAAAACAATGTTTAACAAAATGCTAGAAAAATTATGAAATTTCGGCTCTAATCATTTCGATCTTTCCTCGACCTCGTTTGTAAAGAAATAAATATTGTACCAGCATGCTGGTAAGTTATATGCTTCGAGCCTGATGGTACAATCACTTGATGGAACCAGCAAGCTGGTGTCGTATATTTCCCCTTTTATACAAAAAGGTTTTTGGCTGGATAAAATATTAGCTTTTTTTCCAAAGTTCATTGTTTTTATATACCATTACTTATTGAAAATTTATACTTATATATGTATATGTGGGTAAACCATTTTAGCTTCCATTTTTAGCCACAACGACTTTTTTTAGCTCTTTTTTAGCCCTTTTATTAAAGGAATTTGGCTACCACTAAAAATTATGCGCGGCAACACTGATTAGTATACGTCAGTGGCAGTGTTGCCGCGCCGTCCCAAGAAAATGTATCACCGACCAACCCAAAAATGTATCCAAATGTATCCAATTTTCTTTTTTTACGTATCCATCTCATAATTTGTAAGAAAGCCAAACATTTTGAAGAAAAAGACATAATTTAACCCATCTTAAGGACTTGGAATACGTGTATATATATTTTGATATTTCTTTAAATCAAACACTTGTAATTTCAATTTATAAATTACATCTTTTATACATAAGTACTTTGCAAAGTAAGTATAAAAAATAGTAATTAATATGTTACATTTGTACCTGTATACTATGAAAAGTGTGTGTAAAACTACTACTGAAAAATATCTATTCTTCAACAGGAATCTGTATAAATATACATACGTATAAGATGTTCAGGATTCGATTTTGAACTTGAGATCTTTAAAATATACACATAAATATACACATGAAATGTTTAAAGTGACAAAAATTTTGAA